TTCTTCTTCTTCTTCTTCTTCTTCTTCTTCTTCTTCTTCTTCTTCTTCTTCTTTCTCTTCTTCTTCTCCTCTTTGTCTAGGGAAGCTAAATATTAGCTAGGATCATCATCATCATCATCATCATCATCATCATCATCATCATCATCATCATCATCATCATCATCATCATCATCAACAGCAACTTGACAACATGAGCCAGGAAACCCAACCACCCACCTTATCTTTGTCCTTCTTCTTCTTGCGGAAGCAGCCGCAGCAGCAGATCCTGGCGTAGATGAAGCGGAAGATATCGGCGAGGACGTCTCCGATGTTGGCCAGACACAGCAGCATCAGGGGAATTCCCAGTACGGCGTACGCTATACACACCAGGCGACCCCACACCGTCTTCGGCGCAATGTGTCCATACCCTGTACAGGAAGAGAGACACCACAGATGGTTGGTTTTGATTTCCTTTGTTCGTTTTCATGTTGTTGTATTGTGTTGTGTTGTGTTGTGTCGTTTGTTTTGTTTTATTTGGAATGTTTGTATGTTTTGTTTTGTTTTGTTTTGTTTCGTTTTATTTTCTTTTGTTTTTCAGCAAGACTGTTTTACATGACTTTTACGTTTATCCGCCGCTTATACCCTTTTGGGTGTCGCGGGAAGAAAGAAACGTCTCTCTGCTACCAGACGGAGAGCTTGGGTCATGGGGGTGCAATGAGCTGTTAGTGTTTCCCTGACTCCATCTATCCAGGTCTTTCTCGGTTGCCCTCTAGCCTTGTTGCCATTGGATTTTTAAAAAATGTAAAAATGTAGGCACGTTGTGCTGGATGGTGTGTTGGTAATCGCATAAGATGTCTGAACCATTTGATTCTTTGATTTTGGATGTGTTGCATGACATCATTTGTGCCCACCATTTCTCTGATTACTGAGTTTTCAATTTTGTCTCGCCCGGTCTTCTTTACTGCTTTTCTAAGACATCGCTTTTCACAAGTAGTAATTTTTTGCTCCAATGTCTTGTTCAGACTGCAGTCGGGTTAAGTCGGAGATTTCGAGTTATATTGTTGTGTCGAATTTCTTCTACAATGAATGATTGAGTGTTTACGATCTGACGTTTGCTTGTATTTTTATATCAAAGTACTCAAAGATGCTAAATAGTCACGCTCTTTTCACAAATGACAATAAATTGGCGTCAGAAATTGGAGAAACAGTGCTTACCCCCCCCTCCCCTTACTCCTTACTTTATGTTACACTCTCACAGACTCATAAACATAATGTATAGAGGAGGGTGGGGTGTGTATGTGTAGGGGTGGGGCTTTGCCGCAGTGTCTTGAAGTAAGGTCGACAACGACTCGACTTTTAATGAAAACAAGTTACTCTAGAAGTACACAATTCTGTTTGCTCACTACCTAGTTTTGAGAAATGTGACGTCAAAACTTTTAATTTTCACATGTCAAGCTTTTTCGAATGCAATTCTTTGAATAACTTGATAACGACTCCGAATAATCCTACGATTTTGGTAGAGCAGAAAGCACATTACCTCATGGTCTTTGTATCTCAAAACGACGAAAAATATCAGATAAGTATAAGGTAGCGAATATGTTGTAAGTTTGGATCAAAGCTCTGTGGGTAGGTTGTTACACCCCCAGGAAAGGTTCTTTTCATAATTTGCTCAGTTCATCAAGCTGCAAAATTTGCACTTGGCAATCGGTAGAAAGGGGGGGGGGGGAGGTACTTATCAGTCTTAGTGGTATGCACCTTCCGTCTGCAGAGCTGAATATCCCAGGAGGGCCGAGACAGTAATTTGGAATGTACTGACCGGTCAAGGGAGTTAACATTGAGTCTTGCGGGCCTTCAGTGGGATACACAACATTTTAAGCACCTTAGCTCTTTAAATTTAAATGAGACAAGGGGAAATAACATCTCTCGTAGCTCCACATGTTGGCGGGTAATGGATGGGTTTGTCTGCGACAGGTATATCAACTCACAAGCTCAATGCATGCATAACAGATACGCCTTGTTCTTCTTCCTTAACCCCCAAGAGGGCACCCCATTATAAAGTCTTGTACTTTTCTACAATATCACTTTTGCAAAGCATAATATGCGTAAGTCTATGGAGAAGAAAACAGCTACATTCATGGTGAAGTAAGTGCAAAAAAGGCACATGGTCAATTAATTCTGTGCCATCGTGTAATGTTTCTTTAGAGAATTGTTGAAAGTTTCATGGGCAGATTTATATGCCCCTTGGAGTCAAACAGGCTGAGATCAGTTCAGCTTCTGGCATTAAATATTTACACCAGGCGTTGCTATATCGTTAGCCTCAAGGAGAGAAAGGCAGTGTAAGGTCTCAGAGCTGTAAGGTGGAAGGCAGGGGAGGGGAGGGGGGGGGGCAGGAAGGATCGATCATCATCGATCGCATTGAGCCGGTCTGCTCGTCTGTGTCTTGCCCTATCGTGGCGGTGCTCCTGGTTGTGGCACTTATTGGAAACAAAATTTAGATATTATGACGTATTAGACTCTCGCCGGTCTCCCTCTCTCTCTCTCTGCATCTCTGTGGAACTATTTCTGGCCTCTGTACTCTTAGAGTGATTTTTCCTCCTCTTCCTCCTCCTCCCCCTTTTTTTGTTTTTCTATCTTTCTTTCTCCCTTTCTTTCTCGTTCTCTCTCCATTACCCTTCACTCGCTCATGTTGTCTGTCTTTTTGTCTGCATAAAAATATTAATAATATACACGTAATTATATGTATATATCTTTCAGCCCCACCCCTCTCTCAGTGTTTTTCTGTGAGATGATGGCCCGGGTTTCTTTTCGCATAAAACAACATACTCATACTCATGTGTCCCTTCCCCCCGAAAAAAACAACCCAAACCAACCAAACAAACAAAAAAACAACAACAAACAAACAAAACAACAACAACAAACAAACAGAAGTAGATCTATAGGCAATAACAATCTTTCCCCGTAAAAGAAACCAAACACAAACCCAATGAAAAACAGACACACAAGCCCACCCACTCTCGTATGCACGGTTCTTGTACATAGTTACACACGGTCCTTAGATACCCCCACTGCCAGCCATACATATCGGAGGCTACAAAACACTGAAATGTAGGCCTGCTTATCAACACATTTCATTGTTTGTTGAACGAGGGAGGAAATCCAGCGTCGGAAGTTACAATAGTATGTGTCACGACGCGGTAGAATCAGGCTTTCGTCAATTTTTGGGCATCTGGAGTCATCGGTATCATCTTAAAGCTTGTTCATTTGACCATCTTTAGATGAAAAATAAAATACACGCCTATCGTGAACAGAAGTCGAGATATTTGCGATTGAAGGAGGTCAGGGTGGCCAAAGTTTAGTGATTTCTTAAGCTTGAGAGTCCTTGGAAACTGAAAATTTACATAATTTGTTGTGCCTTTAACGAATGTTTTCAGGAAAATTCACCCCCAAAAATATTTTTAATGGACACAAAAGGCGGTGAGCCAATAATAAAAAAAAGAACAACAAAAAAGATAAAGAATAAAACAAAAGAATAAAAGGTTTAACTGGCGGAAAAATGCCGATAACTTCAATTTCATCATTTTGACGAGCGTCTGATTTCACCACGATGCCTCACATATGCCTTGGGCATAGCAACGAGTCTGGACACAAATACAGAGGGGATCGCGCCCCAGCAGCACTGGCTAGACAGGGGAGGTATCGTTGAATCGCAACCGGATTGTGGGCGGTGATTACGGCGCTTTGATGGGGTTTGCTCCTTCTTTCATCTCAAACATCTATCGTTCAATATACTCTCCTCCCCCTCTCTCCCT